GACTGAAAGGAAACGTGAGGAGGTGTTGGGTGGGATGAGGCCTTTCTGGAGGGGCATCCTAAACCCGAAGTTTGATGGGGAAGCATTGAGAGGAGAGAGTCACATGTAAGGGAACTGAGGGGCCCATTGCTGTAAGCTGTCTTACGACATGGGCAAGGGGATGGGTTCCCAGAATAACACAGAGTTCTGGGTTAGCAAACAGTAAGGCACCATTACACAGGGTTGCTGTAAAGATTATAAAAGTAAATATAACATTCGTGAGTGCCTACCATGTACCAGACACCACGGCAAGTGTTTTACATACATTCTCTCATTTAATCCTCACAACCCTATAATATGAATTCTTTAATCATTTTACAGAAGAGGAGATCGAGGATCCTAGAGGTTGAGAAAATGCCTGAGACGCATAGCTTGTAAGTGTTGGAGCCAGGGTCTCACTCCAGCCATCGGACTCCGGAACTGTGCTCATAGCCACTGCACCGTGATGTTGTACCTCATCTCAGGTGCTGCACTAGCCACTTATGGCAAAAAGGCCCAGGTGTAGGCTTTGGTGCCAGGTGGCTGGCCAGTTAGTGTATGTGCTTGTTCAAATTTCCCTCCTTCTTCAACTTTGTCATAGAGAAAATAGACTCAGATGTTTGGGGTCAGATGTTCTTAGCAGCCCTGGGTTCTGGGGGTTCAGCACTCCTGCCCTCAGCAGCCCTTCCCAACACCCCTGCTGCCGCTTCCTTTCCTCTTCCCCATTCTCAGTGGGCAGGAGGGTAGCTCAGGCATTGTGGGGCATCATTTGCCTCCCTACACTCAAGGACTCTTCCTCTGCTTGAGGCTCTGATTCCATCTTCAAGAAAACAAGAAGGCAGTGAATTTGAACTCCGCTTGGCCCTAAGCAGCAGCATGTTTCTGCAGAGGTCACCTAGCCTCTCTGATGTTGCTTTCTCATTTGAAAAATGGCACGCATCTTTCAGGTAGTTGGGAGGGTTTATTGAGACAATGCCAAAAGAGTCCATAAGTTAATAAATGTTCATTGTATGTAAGTTAACTATGAATCAAAATCCCTCTTGTTTTTTTCTCCGGCATCAGCCCTAAGGGGGCAGAACAGACAATCTGGTCCGATGTCTAATAACAAGAGGAAGAGAGAGAAGGACCTCTGGGACTCCCTCAGGGATTCTCAGAACTGTCCAAGACAACAAAAAATCAGGTTTACTCTCAAGGGGTAAGCCCCAAATATACAGGAGCATTCTAAAAAAATAAAAATAAAAATAAAAAAGTGAAACACAGCCATAGGTGACAGATTCAGAATGCGATTATTGATTCAAACACAGATCCTTTCTCTTCCTTGCATTTTCTACCCCACTCCCTTCAAAGATTGTTGATGATGGCTGGGTAGTGACTCAGGGAGCCAGCTAGCAGCGGAGAGTGACTTGGCTGCAGCCGGTGCTAAAAATGACCAGCAGCAAGGCAAAGGAGGGAGACAGCATTTTCCCTCAGCCCTGCTCTAACTCCTTGAGCCTTTTTTTTTTTTTTGGTAACAAGGGAGATAGAACTCCTGACCTATTAGAGAAATTGAGTGGATTAAATATGATAAGGGGTCTGGCACCCATTCATAAAGGTAGTAAAAGCCATGATGTATTGCGTCCCCGAGGCCAGGTACTATGCTAAGTGCTTTACAAACATTATCTCCCTTAATCACTGGCCCAAACTCCATGAAGGCTGGGACTAGATCTGTCTTGTTCCCTACCATACTGCCAGTCCCAAGTACAGTATCCTCCTGCATGATGGTGATAATAACCAATGCTCACAGCAACCTTATTTTGTACACTCGTGGTATAGCCTTATTCATTATTTTTATCGGTGTACATTTCTAATCTTCATGATAATTTTAAGGGGTGGGTACTACCATTATCCCCATTTTATGAATGAGGAAATTGAGGCACAGAAGGCAGAGAAAAGCTGGGTAACTTTCCCAAGGTCACTAAGGAAGTGATAGTGCAGGAGTCTGAACCCAGGTAGTCTGATTCTAGAGTCCATATCCTTGACTCCTATGCTAACTCAGGGGGTGGAGGTGGGGTTAGGGGTTGTATCATAAGTCCAGTGTCAAGATGTTTTATCGGTAGAGCAATCAAAGCTAAGAGAAAAGTTAAATGATTGAGTCAAATCCACAAAGCCGATAGGTGGTGACCCAAGATTTGGATGGAGTGTGACCAAGCTTAATGCCTCAGAAAGGGTACACTGTACTCCCCCCACCCTGAACCCAAGCTCTAGGGCTAGCCTTTCCCTGTAGGGCTCTGCCTCAGAGTCCACAAATGTCTTGAGTCTGGGTCTGGACTAAGTTGGGCAGTTGTGGAACAGTAACAATGACACCCCAAATCTCAGAGACAGCCCTAGGCCAGGAGTCTGTCAGGAGTCCATTTCCAAGGGTAGGAATGGCTGCGGGCTAATGCTGGGCCCTCTTTCCACCTGTAGCCTGTGGCAAGGGTGCCTCTCAGAGGGCCCGGGATTGTCCCCTCCCCAACCTCCAAGGGCAGGGTGGTGACTGTCTTTCTGGGAGAGGGAACTGGCAGCTTCAGACATGGGGTTTGGTCAAGATATTTTTCATTCTCATCTCCTGGCGAGAGCTGAGCTTCCATCACTCACACGCTTGTTTTCCATCACTCACGTCCTTGCCCATGGCTTCATCTGGCTCACCGTGGATGTCCTGTGATAAGTCAGGGACATGACAGATGCCATTAACATAACATCCCTATTCATCCTTCCAGGGTAGGCTGGCATGGAGGGGAGGCCGAGAGAGGGGTGGAGTCAAATGACACCTGACCCATTTGAAATTGAGTATGGCCTCTGCTGCTTACTAGCTAGGTAGCTTGGGACAAGTTACCTAACCTCTCTGAGAACCTAAGTTTCTGTATTCATAAAATAGGAATAGAAATTCTTATCTAGAAGCAAAAACCACTGCTTTGCACAACTCAAGGGGCCACCATTCACACTGTTGTATATATGAGTGATGCCACATGGAACCCAGTTCCACAGATGACAAGGTAAAGGATGTCTCGAGATTGTATATCCCTGAGTCTGCGCCTTGCAAGTAAGAATAGCTATGCCAACTTTCAGATGTGCAACCAAGGTGCTAACATGACTATGCCATGTAAAGGGGCTAGGGCCATGTAGGTGAGCAGTAGGCATGACATTATTCTAGGACAAGGAGGCAGCCCCTGGAGCGAACTGTACAGTTTCCCCAGATGCCTCCTGCACTGAGATGCCCCTGCCTCATTCCAGCTCTTGTGTGGACCAGGCCAGAATGAATAAAGACCCACCTCACCATAACCTTGTTAGCAAGGCCTCAGTTTCCATGTTCTGTAGGATCTCCTCTTATCTCTCGGTCTGGCCCCATGGTGACCACAGAGAGCATTAGACTCCTCGGCAGTGGACCAGGAAGAGTTAAGGGTTTCACTCTACTGGGTTTTGCAGCTGACTGGCCAAGAAATCCTGAATGGAATCTCTTCCCCAGCCTGGTTTTCCAGTCTCTGCCTGAAGCCACTTACCCTCCCCTCTGCCTGAAGCCACTTACCCTGCCTGAAGCCACTTTACCTCCCCTCATTGGACGTCTTGAAGTGAAGAAACATTTATTAAAAACCTGCAGAAAGGAGAGTAACAAGTGGAAAGGAGAGTAACAAGGGAGATAAAACAGTCTCCAGCCTCAAGAAGGTCACAGAAAAGTTAGCTGAGTTAGCCGAGGTGGTAGAGTTCAGGGACTGCGATGTCTGTGTACGTGTGTGTGTCTGTGTAGAATCACCTTTACTTGATACTTGAGCCCAAGGGGGCCATGTGCCCTGCAGAGCCCTCAAGCAGGAAACCAGTAGCTCCACTGCCCACCTTTGGAATCAAGGCTAACTCTTCTCTCCAGGTGAGGGCTCCGCCCAGCCAAAAGCAGTTTCCTGCTGCTTCTCACTGCCACTCAACTGGCCCAGTTGGTTGCAGTTCTGCAGCTTCCAACACAGGAGTCAGGCAAGAGATCCCCAACCACTGGGGATGAAGCTTACCTTTTAATTGCCTCTCACACCCTCCCACCTCCCTTCCCCTCCACATCAACAAGTCCATCTTTATTCTGTTTGGTCAGTGAACTCTGAGATACAGCGGTCCCCTTGCCTTGTCTATCTGACAAGGCAAGTAAGGAGCTCAATACATATTAGTTGAATGAGTGGATGGAAGGATAAACGAAACCCTTCCATGAAAGTTGGACACACTTCATGCTCACTCTAGGGAGATGTTTGGACGTCTGTGGTTTTCCAAAAGAAGCCACCACTGCTCTTCTTTCCCACTAGGGAACCCTGACTCTTTTATCATTCATTTATTCATTCATTCATTGGGCCAATATTTCTTGAGGAGCTCTTCTCAACAAGGCACTGCATCCTGTGCTGGGAAACAAACCTTGAGCTTTCTTCACACCCTGTCCCCTTCTTTTCTCCCTATTGCCACCACACACGGTGCCCAGAGCACTTGCTCCTCCCTTGTTCTGCCTTTTGCACAGAAAATCCCATATTTGGCTGTTCTTTGACCCGGCCAACCTGCATAGCAGTTGAAGGAGAAAGGTGGACTCCCAGTCTCTAGTATCTGTCCTCAGTCCATCCTCCCACCCCACCCCAGGAACATGTCCCAGCCAGGCTCTGGCCAGAATCCCAAGCCACCCCCTGCCTCTTGGAACAGCCCTGAACTTGTCTCAGCTCAGCCCCTGGGGTCTTTGCCCATGGGCGTCCTGCAGAGCCCACCGGGTGCCTGGCCCCCAGCGCCCTGGCCCCTGGTGCTGCCTGCGGCGGGAGCTACCAGCTTTTTGGAATTCCTAATCGCTTCTGGCCCCGGTGATTGGCTGCTCAGCTCTGACCCCACTTGGGCTGCCGCCTGGTTGGATAAAAGGGGAATCTCCTTGGGGCTCCAGAGCATTAGACACCGGAGGGGGCACCTGGGACCAACTTCGCGAAGCGGGGAGCCCGGCGGGGGGGTGGGGGGAGCAGAAGACCTGCGGCCTCGGCCTCTCCAAAGAGCCGGGAGATGACGGGGAAAGCGGGGGAAGCGCTGAGCAAGCCCAAATCCGAGACAGTGGCCAAGAGTACCTCGGGGGGCGCCCCGGCCAGGTGCACCGGGTTCGGCATCCAGGAGATCCTGGGCTTGAACAAGGAGCCCCCCACCTCTCATCCTCGGGCTGCCCTCGACGGCCTGGCCCCCGGGCACTTGCTGGCGGCGCGCTCCGTGCTCAGTCCCGCAGGAGTGGGCAGCATGGGGCTGCTGGGGTCCGGGGGGCTCCCTGGTTTCTACGCGCAGCCCACCTTCCTGGAAGTGCTGTCCGACCCGCAGAGCGTCCACTTACAGCCGCTGGGCAGAGCGTCGGGGCCGCTGGACACCAGCCAGACGGCTAGCTCGGGTAGGTGAGGGAGAGGCTGCGTAGCTACCCGGCTCGGGGCGAGAGCCGGGACCCCACGCCGTCGGCTCTCGCTTGCACCGCAAGGCCTCCTCCGGGCGCGAAAGTTCGTGCCAGGCCGAGAGGTCGCAGCCCTGGCCTGGGTCGCGCGCGCTGGGGACGAGAGCCGGGACGCTGCCCCCGGCGCCCGCCGGCTTGCATCCCCAGCGTTTCTGGCCGCCGCGCTGTCCTCTCGTCCCCGCGTCGGGCCCGGCTTTGCCACGGCGCCCACTTGGGGCCCCACTGGAAACCGGCCTTGGGGTGTCGGGACCTGTGGGGCGGACCGGGGCCCCCGCAGCTCCGCTGCCCCACTGCGGCCCCGGCCCCAGCCTCCCCGAGGACCCGCGCTCCTGGAGCCCGACTCGGGTCCGCGCGCTGGCGGCCCAGGAAGCGGGTGCCGGCTTCGGCCGCAGCGCTGGTGCCCAAAGTTGTCTTTTCTCTCCTCCTTTTCTCCATTCCAAACTCCTCGCGTTTAGTCAGCGGGGGTTTGTTTTTCACCCCAAGAGCTTGGACAACCCGCCCACCACGGCGGCCGAAGCGGCCACAATCTGGTCGCACCCAAGCGCCGCAGCATATCCGATCCCCGCGCCTCGCGCGTTCGAGGGCCCCCGGGTGACCCCGCCGCGCCCTCCCCCGGCCGCTCTCCCGGCCTTGCGTCCCCGCCCGCTCGGCCCTCCGGCGCTCGTTGGCGCTCGGCAATTCCCCCGATTTTTCGTTTCCGTTTTAATGATTTATTTTATTTGGTGGGGCAACGAAAAATGCTGAATCGCAGCCTCTCCAGTCTCGAGCGGAGGCGCATTTTGCGGGCACTGAAAAAAGGGCTGTGCCGAGGGAGCCCCCAGCCCTTACTGGCGCCAGCTACCTGCGCCCCGGTTCCGCCCCTTGGGGCCAGCTTTCGGGCCAGGGGAGCCGGAGCTGCAAGCGCAGAGCAGGGCGCGGAGCCCGGAGCGCGACCGCGGGTCCCCGCTGCAGCCCCTGAGGCTGCCTCGCTCCCCCGCTGTCCCTGCCCCAAGCGCGCCAGGGCCTTCGCCTCTCTTACAACGAAATCTGCTCAAGACCTCCGGGTTTGGGCGCCCGCGTGGGTAGGGCAAGCCTGGGCTTAGGGATGGGGTCGACCTCGTGGAGGTCTTCTTGGGGAGACAGAGCAGGCCCCCCACCGCTCCCGGAGGCGGCCCGGGTGGGGCCTTGGAAGGTTTGGGGCGCCTGATGTTCCTTGGCAAAGCCCAGCGCGCCCCCCATTCTTCCGCATGTGCCTCCGCCCGCTTTTCAGATTCCGAAGATATTTCCTCCAGCGACCGAAAAATGTCCAAATCGGCTTTAAATCAGACCAAGAAACGGAAGAAGCGGCGGCACAGGTAAGGCCCTTGCGGTGCATGTTACCTCTCCTGCTCACTCACCTTCTCCCGACCCGTTTGGGAGTCAGGTCTCAAGGACTCTATTTTCGCTGCCTCCAGATCCGAAGTCCGCGACCGCGCCAGGGCGGGGAGAGCGGGCGTTGTCTGGGGTCATGCACCGGGCCCCGGCGTCCGGCTGCTCTGGGTGAGGATGAGAAGCGGCCGCCGGGAAAGCGGCACCGTTTTAGGCTTTTTCCTTCTTCGGGAAAAAGGAGAGGCCCCAACCAGGGCCAAGTCGGAGCCAGAAAAAGGCTGACGGCTCCAAGATGCAACCCCGGCATCAGCGCATCCGAGAGCCGCTCGCGCTTCGCGGCCGGCACCTCGGCTCCCACCTGCCTCCCAAGCCAGGTCCTCTGCCCTTTGCCCACGGCCACCGTTCCTCTTCTGCTGCCCCGTCCACTTTGCCAGCCCACTAGCTTTGCGCTCCCACCGTTCCCACAAACTCGGACGTGATATCTGCATCGATGGAAATTTTTCGTTAGGCTTCTGCTCTTTTATGATCTTGAGAGTGTCTCTTTCCTTTCCGTGAGCCTCAGTTTCCTTGTCTGTAAAATAGAGAGAAGGTAGAGTGTGGACTGGATGACTCCACTCGCTCTAGCTGGAGTGGAGTGGGCTCCACTGGGGTACAGACTAAAGAGAGAGTTAAAAAAAAATATGTCTTTAAATAGACATTGCTTACACAGAGTTAACATTCAATAGATGCGGAAAGGTGTATCTTGAAAAGAAATCCCCCCACCCCAGACCCGCATGCCCTTGGACACCGTCACCAGCGCTACCAGTTCTTTGAGAGCATTTACGACGAGTTTTTAAGGAAATAAAGAAGCGAAAACCAAAAATCTGTTTGACTTTCAGCGAGGGCTGCTTCTAGGAGCTGTCCCTGCACTCACCACGGATCTGTCTCCCCAAATCTCCCTGCGCCCGGGTCCGGGTGGGCCGCCCGCAGGGTTCCGCTGGCTCTCTGGAAATTTTCCCCCTGGGGAGCTGTCCACCTCCCCACCCCGACCCACCTCATCCACGCCTCCCTATTTGTTCTCAGCCTCTTTGCACCTTCTCTTTGGGTGCTTTTCTGCGTTTTCCTCTTTGCCCTTTGAAACCCCACGATTAACCCTCACCTTTGAAAAGGGCTCTTCCTGACCTCACAGGTTCCGGCTTGAATGAGAGTGGTCCTTGACTTGGTTTCTCAGTGACCTCGGTGTGATCCCTTCAGGCAGCTATTTGGTTTTGTTTAGTTTGTTTTGTTTTATTATAAACCAATATATTTAGTCCTGATCTGGGGTTATTTTTTACATTCATTCATCCAACAAATATGCATTAAGTGCACCCATCTCAATCTGGTCCCAGGGCAGGTAATCCGCAGCTTCCTACACTGGGACAGGGACCAGACCTTGGAGAGGAGGCAAGTGGGAGTCCCACTGAACTGCTTCTGTGCTGGTGCAGGAATTAGGGGAGGGAAGAGCGCTGGAAAAAGCATCCCCCAAACCCTGAGTGCCTCAACAGTGTTTCTGCAACAAGAACATCTATCTCCCTGTCTGGCACTTGGAGCTGACTAACCCATAGCCCAAAGTCCAAGCTTAAGGCTCTTGACTCTCTGTCCTCACCTGATTGCCTGGCCACCAGAGAAATCTTTGGGAGCTTTGGAGGTTCCCAGGGAGACAGGACAACAACTTGCCACCTGCTCTGGGTTTCTGGCTATTTCTGATGCCTAGAGAGAGCAGATTATTGGAGAGAGGAGAATGGTTACTGATTGCCGGCACAATTTTTAATTAGTAAAAAATGTGTTTTCCTGAGCTTCTCTCGTTTGGGGATTTCAGGTAAGAGACCTGAAAGGAGAGTGGACGGGTCAGCAGCCTCTGGATACTCAGATTTTGTTCTACTCTTTACCTAGAAAGCTCAGACAGGATACAATAGGAATCTGAAGGATCTGGGGTTCTGCAGAAAGTCAGGAGCAGGCTTTTCTGGGTAACGCTGTGGGAGCGCAGGAAGGTTCCCTGGAGAGCTGTCAGCATCAACACACGGATTGGCTCTGAGGCAGAAATGAAGGGATGTTTGGGGGATTTGAGGCTTTGTTTTGTTTTTCGTTTTTGAATGGAGCTCTCCTAAGCAGAGGCTGGCACTTGAATGATCTAAATGACCTATGTCAGCTTTCCTCTTTGGCTTTGGCCACAACACCTATGTGCCTCAGTTTCCCTGGTTTTGAAAAGGCCTTGCGTATTTCGATTGTTTATTTTGATGATCTGTGCAGGGGCCCTTCAGTAAGTAGCAGGAGAGAAATAGAAAGCATCAGATCTTCACATTTCTTTCCGTTTACATAAGCATTTTCATCCCCCCACCAAGAGAATAGGGGAAACAATTTAGAATTAAACAAGTCATTTTCTGTAAAGAGCTGAATCTTTCTTCCTCACACATCCCCTACATCATCTCCCAAGATATTAATGACAACACCAACACAAGGGATGTACAGGGCTTACGGGGCTTAACTTTGTACTTTTTCCTTGTGTTGGGTGAGGGCGAGGGCAGCAGTGAGGGATTCTAAAACCTTGTGCTGGTCCCAGGGTCCAAATCTCAGAGCTTTGAGCAGGGAAGGTGCCCCTTTTACAAGTCTGAGTTTGCAGAATCTGGGCTCTATTGTCTGTTGGCTTATTGATAAGGATGCAGGAAAAAGGTCACCTAAAACTTAGTGAAATCAAGGTCTGAAAAGTGAAGAATTTGTGTTTGTAGGTGGGCATGTAGTTTATTTAATAAAGGGGGCTTATGAATTTTCTAATATTGGAGGCAAAATTTTATGTATTGGAGCATATTCATTTGCACATTTTCTTAGAATGAGAGAACATAGATTTTATCAGATTCTTAAAGCAGTTTGACCCAAAACAGATAAATGTGAACTGCTCTGTTGGGGTGGGGGGTTGTGTGGGTAGGTTCTCTCAGGGGGACCTGAGTAGAATTCCCCCTCCCCTGACTGTGGCCCCACTGGGCCACTGGGTGTGTGGCTGAGAGTGGTGTGTGTGTGTGTGCATGTGTGTGCGTGTGCGTGTGCGCCCGCGTGCCGCTAGCCCTTGCCTTCTGAGCACAGGAGGGGTCAGGGTGCCCTTCCCCTCTTCTTCCCCACCCCTACATCTCTGAGGAAGCTGAGGAGCTGATGGATTTGGGCAGGTGAGGAAGGTGGAGTGTTAGAGTGGGTTGAGGGGGTAGGAAATTCAGTTCTCAGTTGTATAAACATTGGAGTTGAGGCTGCATTTGACCTTCTGGTGAGTCTTCAACTTTGAGTGCAATTTAAAAGGTTAACTCTGCTGTCTAAGAGAGGAGCCCAGGAAACAGGGCCCAGCAGGGCTGAGGCATTTATTTACCTGGTATGCCCCTCACCTGTGCCTGGGAGGAGGAAGAGGGGCTTTCTGCAGTTTTCTAAAATTCCTCTCCCCTAAAGCACTTCTAGAAAGACTCCCCGTATGAGATGTCACTGAGGGCCGACACCACCAGAAAGGTAGCGTGAGCCCTCAGCCTTCAATGAAGAAGAGTCCAGAAGGTTAAGCTATGGGTGTGTGTAAACGTATGTGCGCACATGTGCGTGCACGCGTGTGTATGAGAGCCTGTGAGGGAGTTCGTGTCCGATTGTGCTGAGACAGCCTGGATATGGGGTCTGTCTAGGAGGCGTAGGGGAGGGCCAGTCTATCCTCTCTGAGATAGGCTCGTTCTGTTTCCAGAGTTCTGAGTGTCTGGTTTTGCTCCCTTCAGGACAATCTTTACCTCCTACCAGCTAGAGGAGCTGGAGAAGGCATTCAATGAGGCGCACTACCCAGATGTCTATGCCCGGGAGATGCTGGCCATGAAGACGGAGCTGCCAGAAGACAGGATACAGGTAACAGAGCCTCGAGTCCCTCTCTCTTCCATGTTCCCTGCTTTTGGGGACATCAGCAGCCCAGGTTCCGAGACACCCATCTCTCACCTCCCCACACCCCCCAGCCCCTGCTATGAGCACCTGCTTGCCTTTGATCGTGTTCTCATGAAGAACAGTTTGTTTAAACTGACAAGTATTTGCTGAACACCCACCAGTGAGGTGGGTACTGTTTGGGGGCAAGAAACTTAGATGTGGCCTGGCCTGCTGTTCTGGACTGTAGGCTTCCTGAGGAGCACATCAGACAGACCCTGAGGGGGCCTATGGTGGGAGAAGCAGTTCTGGGTGGGTCCTGGGTTCTGAGCAGGGGCTCTGTCGTGGCAGATGTCTCCTAGGTACAGCTAAACATCTGCTTCAAGACCAGCAGTGGCCCCAGGCCTCTCTGGGTGCCTGAGGGTGGGAGGGCAGCAAGACCTTCTAAGTCAGGCTTCTAGCCCTGACCTCAGTCTGTTTCCCTTCCCTCCACTTCCCTCCTTAGGGGGAAGAGGACGCCCCCTCCCTTCCTACTCCCCACCAGCGCCATCCGCCTGAGGCTCCTTCTTTCTCTCACAACTGCCCTGAGCTCTTGCTCCTTTACTTCTCCTGGCTCTGGCCCAGGATGTGGCTGGGGACCTGCGCCTGCAGGTGTGGCTCATGAAGCCCTCCTCCTCTCCTGAGGAGTTTTGTCATAAACAGCCACTGATCTGGACTGGGATGTCCTCACTTGGGCTGGGCACAAGGCCTCCTTTCCTTAGCAGGAGGACCTTTTCGAGTCCAGAGGCCCCCTACCTGGGCAGGAATAGTGTTGCTTAATCATTTCTCTGGGAGAAGATGAAATCTGATGAGTTCTAAAACAGGTCTCCATGAGGAGGAAGACGTGACTGGGGTGGGAGGAACATTTCCCAAAGATCTGCATTCACCTTAGCTGGATCGCAACCTGGGCTGTCCAAAGTAGTTCACTATTGAGGCTGGGAAACGGGGGTCCTGACTCCCTGAAACCCCTTCTGCTCACATCTCCTCCCAGTCAAGGTCCTTTGTGTCTCCAGGTGCGATGTGTGTTGGGGTTTAGGGGTTGGGGGCTAGAGAAAGAACCACATAGGTGTGTAGTTGGCTAAGGTGCTTTCTCACTGGAAAACCAGAGAGAATGAGAGATGATGCATGAGCTGCTTTTCCAGAAAAGACTTTCTCTCTCTTGAAAATCTATTTGGAATTTCAGTCAATGGCTTTAGACATTAACACTAACAATAAGCTCAATTATTCATAAGCAGATTATCTGTTTGGTGTATTATCCTTGGTGGCCTGGATCTATCACCCCACACACCCAGTTGGGTTCCAGAGGGGTAAGGCTGGGTGTTGATTCTGAATCTTGTGACTGTGTGTGTGTTTTGTGTGTGAGTAAGCCAAGGCCCGATCCAGTTGATGTATGGGGGTAACCTGCACCTGGCCTTCGTTAGGACAAAGTTGGCTATTACAAGTGTCTGGTCAAAGCCTCCCTTGACCAGAAGGAAGGAACAGCTTGTCACTTGCAGTGAGTTGTCTTAAAACCTGTCTGGCTGTGATGGTGGCGGGTGGGAGTGTGTGTTACTACGAATGCCTCAGCGGGTGGATGCTGGGCTTCTGTAAGTTCCCTAGGGGGTGTCCGTGGGGTGGTGTCTGAAGCCACCAGGACCAATAAGGAGGAGCTGGGGTGAGGAATGAGTTAGTTGCCCTGGGACTGCGAGGACTGGCTAAGGAATGTGCGTGTGGGAGAACCGAGGCGAGAACCTCTTCAACTCTTTGAGCACCTCATGGTTCTTTGGCTAAATGCTGCTCCCAGAAGGTGTTTGCGAGCTGTCAAATAGTCCTGCCCCCAAATGTTTTGCCAAGTGGCCCGGGAAAGGTCTTAGCGTGTGTTAATCGTAACCACAGCTATAATTTACAGAACAGTTTCTGTGTACCAGGTGTTCTAAATACATGACATTTGCAAGAGAGGCAGGGAAGTGTGGTGGGTAGGGACACTGACCCTGGAACCAGACTGCCTGGGTGCACGTTCTTGCTTCGCCAGTTACCAGTTGAGTGACTGTGGACAAATTACTCCAACTTCTCATCTGGAGAGTGGGGATGATAATGGCACCTGCAGATGTGATGAGCCACATGTGTAATGTGTTGAGAGCAGTTGGGGAGTTTGTGTTGTGAGCCTGGTACATGCCCAGTGCTCACTCAGTTTCAGCTCTGATCTCGTTAAATCCTGGTGACAACTGGTAGAGAAGAGACCATTAATTTCTTTTTAAAACTGAGGAACCTGAGGCATAAGGACTTCCCAAGGTCACACAGCTAAAATGCGGAGGACACAGGGACCCAGGACTGCATCTTGGGTTTGAAGCCTGTGCTTTGACTTGAAGCTGGGGGAAAAGAGATGGTTTGAGGGTGAGTGGCGGGCCTGTGTCAGATCTTCTTTATAAAAATAACCAATATTTATTGAGCACCAGGTAGTGTTCTTAAAAAAGAAAAAAACTTATTCAAAAAAATTATTTCTCAAATGGGTAAATTTAGGTAACGCCAGTCTCCCTCCTCACTGCCCTCCAGCAGGCGCTCCAGGGGTAACCAGTTTCGTTCCCCAGGAATCCTCCAGATACGCAATGAGCCAGGCACTATTACTAGTGTCATTTAACAGATGGGGACCTGAGGCACAGAGGCCAGAATGCAGACCCAAGTCCCTTTAGCCTCCAGGACACTTGCTTCGCTACACCGCCACCCCTCCGACCATTTCCTCTTAACGTGTAGGTTTAGGCGGGAACAATGCATCTGAGGACCGAATGCTACCACCCCAGCCTGTCCTCTCCCCTCCCCCAGCTTTCAGCCGGAGGCTTTTGTGTGTCTGTTGGAGGGTACGGGAGCGGGAGAAAGGGGTCGTTTGTTAACTCCAAGTCTGAAGTTAGACATTCTCAAGGTGGAATGGGAAGGTCATTGGACTGGGTGTCAAGGACCCGAGTCTTCGTTCTGGCTCTGACACCCACCAGGTGTAGTAGAGGCCAGGTCACTTCCCATCCCTCAGTTTCCTCATCTGTAAAAAGAAGAAGGGGGATCCCTCCCAGGGAGGGGCCTTCTCAGGATCACCTTCCTCACCAGGCCCCTGGGCTGCCGTTGGGGGGATGTGGGAGCAGGACAGGTGCAGTTGGACAGCCCCAGGTGGACAGCTGGGACACATGCCCTCGCTGGACCAACCCAAGTAAACCCCAGGATGTGTCTGAGGTCTACTGTCTAATGTCTAATGAGAACTCAGTGTGGAAGTGAAAAGTCCACCACACCTACTTCTAATCTTTGTTTCTCATCCAGCAAACTAAACTCTAAGCCTGAAATTACTCACTTGTAAAATAATAATATTTTCCCAAAATGCTAATTTAATAAAAGTATTGTTATTGCTAGCGTTATTAAGTACTTACCCTTGCCCCAGATTTTAAGTGTTTTCTGTGCCTTGATTCATTAAATCCTCACAACGGCTAGATGAGTTAATGCTCTTCTTATTCCCATTTTGTAGATGTAGAGAATGAGGGGCTGAGAGATGAAGTAAGTGGTAGACTGGGATTCAAACCCAGTACTCGGTTACTACCACGTGAGCATTCGCGAGGGAAGCATGAACTCCTGTGTCCATAAACTGGAATAATCAACGCCAATGGCAGTTGATGGTGGGCCAGCCCCCTCTGCCTTAGGGCTTGGAGGGCAAGCACTTCCTTGCTTTATAGCTTTCTGGGTTGGGGTGAAGGGACACCGTGTATTGTTGGAGAAAGAAGAGATTCCAAGTCTCCACATCAGACAAATACGCAGTCCTCTTTGTGTCTCAAAAAATAAAAAAAAATGCTGGGACATGGCATTCTGGAAGCCCCTGCCATTTGTCAGCCCTGGGGAAGAGGAAATGGGTTTCCGGACTGATTTCATTTCCTCTGTGAGGTCACTCGTTCCTAGAATTATAAGATCAGGATATAAACATATATTTATTTGGCTTTTTATTTATTTATTTTTTTACCGTATTCTTTTCTGATAAAAGTAGCACTTATTAAAAATACCTTTGTGACAGAGATATGAATGTGCAAAGTCAACAGAGCCCACATCTCACCCCGACTCTTCGCAGCTTGGTGTGTATCGATGACCTAAGTTTGAATTCTCTGACTAGCGCTGTAGCGCTGTTTGATTCTGTCTCTTATATAATGATCCCTGCCCAAGGGTAGGGAATGTTTTAGGGGCTTATATTCCAGAGGTTAGAAGACACGTGTGCAAATGGGAAAGGAATGCAGTGTCCCTCAGCCTGAGACACTTGTTAGAATCACATGGCAGCTTTTTAAAATACTCGTGTCAGGCTCCCGTGGCCCACAATTCCGATTTAATTGGTTTGACATGAAGCCTGGCATCTGTATGTTTTTAAAACTCTGTAGGTGATTGTGTGCAGCCGGTATAAAAATACTGGGTCAGACTCAGGGAAGGAGTTTCTTTGTTTTGAGTGGGTTAGTATGAGTGTAAGAAGTGGAGTTTGGGGTGACAAGGTAGGACCAGGTGTGCAGGGAAGGATACTGCCTCGACTGTCAGGAAACATGGGCAGAGCTGCCCCCTCGTGGACATCAGAGGCTGCAAGCAAGGCCAGGCTTCAGTGAGCCTGAAGCTGAGACTGGAAGGGGTGTGCTGAAATATGGTGTCAGAAATGCTGAGTGGGTGTGGAGCGTGAAGTCATTAAATCACACCAGCAACGCGCCCAACTTAATCAGCTTCCAGCTAGAGGAGAGGAAAGAAGCCGGCTGAGTGTGATGGAAACTGCCACGTGGCCGACAAGCCTGCTGGAATGGGGCAAGAATGGAGGACAAGGTCTAGGTTAGCCAAGGGACCGGAATGTACAAAGACTATCCTATTATGCAAGCTATCTCCCTAAGAGGGGTAATCCTGGAAGGACCAAAGAGGTTTCCCTGGGACATCTTTGAGGAGAAGAGCCTTGAGCATGTTGTCCTATGGGGAAACAG